ACTATATATATATATATATATATATATATATATATATATAAATAAATAAAAGATTATGATTTAACTAGTTAAGATATTTATCGGAAAGTAATACAATTATTTAAATTATGACCTAATTATAAAAATTTAAATGTCATTTATATTGTTAATGTATAGATCTTAACTCGTGTTAACGACTAAATATCAAAGCATATAGATATAGTCTCAACGGGATAGAATAGTCTTTGTTTAAGGAGAGTCAATCGATACCTTTTCATTAAAAATATATATTATGTTGATACGCTAACTTATTTTTGTGTGTATATATTATAAATGTTAACATTTTTTCTTTCTTTCGTATTTACTCTCTTTAGATTCTATATTTCTTTGTGACAATCTTGACTTCACTACATAATAATAATAACAATAATAAAAACACATTTCGCTTGGATCGATTTAATAAAAACTTATGTAAATACTCAATATCTATAGATCAGGTGTAGTCTTTTATAAAATAAAATAATACGGGGCAAAAAGGAAAGGAAAATAGAAAAAAGCCGAGATCACAAAAAAATTAAACTATTATTAATAAGATGAAAATTCAAATAGCAAATACGTTATAGAATTTCAAAGATAAGATATAAGGTATAGTCGTACGTTTAGATATACATATAAATAAAAATATTCTTAGACGTTACAACTTATATATTATTGCAACTGTTAACAAATAGTACCTAAATTACTTAATAAAGCCTGATTTAATAAAACTATACTCTTTTTTTTTCATTTTTTCCCTCTTTTTTTGGCCTTTTGTTAGGTTTTAGAATCTTATGAAAACGTCATAATTAGTTTTCTTTTTTTGGTTCAAGTTTTGTATCAAAAGTAGTAATATTACAGTTTCAACTGCCGCCATATTTAGGGGTTCATATAAATCGACTAATTTTTGCCATATTAGTATTAATCCGTCGATTTTAATTTATTTGTTATATTTTGATTGCGTATATATTTTTAGAAATGTAAAAATTATGAATTTTTAATTTTAATTAAAAATATAATAAATATATTAAAAAATTATTTAATTTCATTAGTTTTAAATATATTATATAAAAAATAAAATAAAAAAATTATTAATTTTTTAAAAATAGAATTAAAAAGAAAAGAAAGACAAACGATCAGACATAGAGCATATATTATAAGAAACTTAATAAATTTTATTAATATTTACTTTTGAACTTTGTCATCGTTATATATATATATATATATATATAT